TAGAAATAATGATGAAATTGATGAGGATTTTGATATAGAGGAGTTGGTTAATAGTATCCTATAATAAGGATAATACTATATGATGATTGATTTTTTTTTTATATGTAATTAAGATATGTAATTAAGATATGTATGTAATTAAGATATGAAATTAAGATATCGATATGATATGATTAAATAAATTATGTTTTATGAATTTTATTTGTTATTTTGTTTACATGTTCAGAATTGTTTTCAAGATCAGGTTGTTTACGCGATCAGGGAGATATCAAGATCAGATTGTTTTCAGTATCAGGATTGTTTACGCGATCAGGTATTATAATTCCATATGAAACAGGGAAGTTCTCTAGGGCCTATGTTTTCCTATTGGTAAAGGGTCTCAAAAATAAATGCCTTGTGATTGGCTTAGATTTTGCATCATTGTATCTAAGCCTTATTATGACATACAATCTCTTACCTGATAAAATCATTTATCTCGAGAGCGTGTTGAATCTCTAAAGGAAAGTGGTAAAAAGTTTCATGAAATTAATTTTAAATTCAATAGTTGTAATGTTCTCGTATGGTCTATAGAGCATAAAAACTAAGCTGAAATGAAAGGCCTTTATCCAAAAGTATTAGAGGAGTTGCATATTAGACGAAATTCACTAAAAAGATGTCTTGCTCTATTAAATGATAAAAAGGAAGAATTAGAAAAGAAGATTAATTTGGCAGAAGAAAGAGGCATAGTTATTACAGATACTTTAAAATCTGAATACTCTTCAGTTGTCTTTAATATCACTTGTCTAGACGCAAAACAGCTTGCTTTAAAGTGTATATGAATATATTTTATAGTGAAGCTGGGAATAGTGGATCCCTTTCTTCTTGCAAGCATTAGCAGGTGGGGTAACATCAGCTGATTAGCAGAATATCAAGCTTATTACTGATCTTATTAGAAGTAAAAGGTTCAGTGTAAAATATGGGGATACAGATTCCTTATACTTTGTCTGTCCAGAAAAATGTTTTCAGAAATGTGATGAGACATATGACAATGGTAATGGGATCTCAAAAGAAGAATATTGGTCTAGAATGATAAACATCTTTATGGAAGTAATAGAAAGACTTCGTGATGAAGTTAATGACTTTCTCAGAAATGATAATGGATCATCTTATCTCAAAATGGCGTATGAGGAAGTCTTATTTCCAGTAGTATTTACTAGAAAGAGAAAATACTACAGCATTTCACATAGAAGAGAACCCAACTTTAATAATAAGCTTTTCATTTGAGGGGTTAAGATTGTAAAGCGAAGGCAGTCTAAACACTTTCGTGAGGTAGGTAAGAAAGTCATGGATGAATCTATGAAGGTAAATAATTCATATACCTTACATCAGATTGTGAAGAACATACTCAAAGAGATCATAAATGATATTTTACAGATAGACCTTAATGGGATAGTTAAAACTGCTATATGGAAGCCTAATAAAAATAAAAAGAGTGTCCAGCGTTTCATTTCACAAATGGGAGATAGATATACCTGTGAAGAAGCAGATGCCAAATGATGCATAAAAAAGGCTTAACATCTGAGCCTTATCTTTATAAAATCCCAGAATCAGGCGAATACTTTAAGTATATTGTAGTTGAAAATGATTCATCACAGAGGGTAGGTGATAAAATGGAGTATCCAGAAGTAGTGAGGTAATTAGGTAAAAAGATCAATATTAGCTATTATCTGAAAACCATTATCAGCCTCTATACACGATTTATTAACTAATATGAAAGTTTTCAACCATCATATGAAATTGTACTGAGTCTTAAAAAAGTTAAAAGTTGGTAATAAAGCAGGTAACAATAAAGTGGATGATAGTATGATAGATGAAGATGACCTGGACGAAGATGAAGAGGATGAAGATAAAATGGATGAAGATGAGGTATCAAAAATAAGAGATGCCTTAGTGCAGAAATCGGCTGAAAAATGGGTTAAAGGGTATATCAAAAAACTTCATACTAGTCTAAAAAAGGTCATGCCATTATCTCACATCTGTAAAAAGAGGCTAATACTTATGCAAAAAATTTATTTAATAACACGTATGTTGATAAAATAGTAAAATACTCAGGAAATGATACTTATTGGTCTTCCTACCTCAATGCCAAGAGGAATCCATCCGCTTAAAGCTAACAACATTACTCGCAGAAATTTTTAAGATTAATATTGGCTATAGAGATGGAATGTATAAATTAGTTACTAAGGTCAGTAAGTGCAGATCGAAAGCCATGTTCTTAGAAAGATACATATTATCATATAATCTAGAAAATGGATATGATTTACTAACTGATTTGTGAAATACATGATATATGATAGTTAGTCTAGAAATTTCACGCTATTGAACGTTATCAAGGTTACAGGATGATAAAAAAGATGATTCGTCCGAAGCTGATATAGATGAAATCATTAAATTATATTGTTAAGTACTCTTAGTGATGTGTGGTAATTTCGGCTAAGAGAACTCATAATATTATTTACGTATTTTTCTTATGTAATAATACCAGCTAACTTCAATTCCTACCTTTGAATTTCTAGCCTAAGATGATCACTCCAAACTTCCGGCCTCCGATCATACAACCCAGCCTCAGAAATGTCTAGAGATAATAAAAAATTAGTTCCAGTTATGAGAATACTCGATATTACTTTTTTTCCATGAATCCCATATTTTTTTCCTAATGATCCATATAATTGCAAAAATAGTAAAGTAAGTATGGTATATGTTATCAATGGTGACATTAAGGGTTCGTAACGATAGGGATAGCTGGTACTAAAGGCATTATTTGGGCTGATGGCATTACTTCTGCGCTACCTGATTGCTTCGCAACCTTTTACTTGAAATAGACTTTTTGGAATATACTGTTCGACTATGAACAGGTTGATTGGGTAGAGTATCTGTCTGACTTCTCGAAACCATCTCATTCTGGGATAGCTCTTGCAAAGCCTCTAATACATTTTCCTTAGCAAAACTTTTATTGAATTCCATAACTTTATTTTCAAGTCTGAGCTTATAGACGAAGGGTTTTAAATCATCACTGATCTAACCTGGTAGCTTTTGTGATGAATCGTTTATAGGTAGAGAATTAGAGAGATCTTTTGAGGATAAATCATCCTTTGCTTGTTTCAATTCAAGCCTGAGAGAATCATTTTCTTTGGGATCAAATGAGTTTATTTGGACTGGCTTTTCTAGTAGTCCTCCTACTATATGCGAATTACATTCTAGTTTCAGATCTAGCAACTTACCTTCTTATTTAACTATCTTAGCTTCAAGAGAAAGTATCTTAACCTTATCAGCGAATGAAGCTTTTTAGGCCAAAGTTGCCTCTCTCTTTTTAGTGTTTTAATATTGGATTTGAGCGATTTGATTTCAGCAGAATATTTGACTTCAAGCTCAGTATGGAACATCCATTCATAAGTAATTTGGAATGTAAGCTTAGTATTTGCACCATTCAGCTGGCTAACCTTATTTTTGATATCAGCATAGAATCACTAGAATTTCTTTTCTCGTTCTGAATACTTATCTACCAACTTTTCGTTAAGGTCATTAATTTCTGCTTTAGATTTAAAGGCAGAATATAATTCTTCTTTAAGCTCTTACTCATATATACTACCAAGCTGATGACTATTATTATTGATATCTCTTAATGTATATACATTGGTCATAGCTTTTTTTGGCTTAGTTGCTAGTATATTAAAAAATATGCAATTGAAAATTGACTTAGATACCCGAACGATGGTCTGAACTGTAAGAAAACTATGTTATTTTCCACTGAAAAGTATTTTTATAGAATAGAAGATCCCATAGTACATATAGCATTGATACTCCTGATACTCCCAATACTTCTGATACTTCTGATACTTCTGATACTTCATGTAGTATTAATTTTTTACACGCATTTTTTACTAATACCACAAATAGTCTTCATATTATACGTAAAATTAATCCTTCTGATACTCTGCATAATACTGGTTCTCTGCATAGTTTTGATACTACACATAGTCTATATAGTATTAATATTTTGCATACAATTTTTTATTAATAGTATGAAAATCTGATTGACTGCTAATATGATCAACCCCCTACCTAGAAGATATATGCATTCTGATGCTACAAAATTATCTTCTGCAGATTACAAAGATATCATGCAATACCAAGATATGAAATCCAATCTCTAGATCAATTAAGAAAGAGATTCCATATATCAACTTCTCATTTATATCAGATTTGGAGAGGACAGGAGGTAGGAAGGGTTAAATGGAACTATTCAGCTGTTCCGCTTTCTTATCCAAGTACAAATGTTATAGATAGATAGGATATATCTGAAACTTCATTAGAGTATAACATCATTACTGAAAGTAAGGAAAAAAAGATCAGAGGAAAGAAATCAAGTCTAAATCTGTTCGTATTTCTGAGTCGCCTGTTATTTAAAAAAGCCGACCTCAGAAAACTCTGAAGACTTAAAAGGTGAAGAATTACATGTATTTTATAAAAATGAGGCCAAGAAAAAATTAAAGCAGATATATCCTGTTTACTAGCTATTACCTAATTATTTTTACTGTTTGCTGGAGTAAACCATTTGTAAACTTTTGCATAAATCATTAAGTTCTGCTTTAGACTTGATGGTAGTATATAAGTTATTTTCGAGCTCCTCATAACTCACTTTTTTTTTAATATATCATCTTCACTTAAGTCTTACAAGTCTTGTGAAATTCTATTTGGAGTTGAAGATCGCATTCAGGAGTAATGTTCGCACAATTCACCTCAAGCTTATTCTTGACCTTATGCATATTGATTGGAATAAAAAATTCCTTACCATTACACTCTAGTCTTAACTCCCATTTTGATGCAAGCAGATCATAATTATATTTATCGAGAAGCGTATTAGGTAAGATTAACATCAGCTTAGGGTATTTAACTACAGCAAAATCAGCATATATAGTACACCTAGATGCAAAATTTATTGAGACATTTCTAACAATTCCAAGGGATTCTGTGGGAGTAGTAGCAATGCCTTTAAGATCATATTTTTCTTTTGTATCAATTTTTAGCTTTGATCGCTTAGAGATATTCTGAGACATGATCAGAAAGTTAGCTCTAGGATCAACCACAGCACCTGGGATTACTAAGCGTTTGATTTTACATTTTACCGTTATAATATCTGTGGCAGGTTCTTTTTTTTGAACAAAGTCTATCTCCATAGGACTATCGATGAACTTATCATTCTTAGAATCAGCTGGTGTTTTAGAATTACCATTTTGTGAGTGATGAAGAGTTGTAATAGTGCCAAACTTTTCATTAAACACCTTCTCAATAATCTTTTCAATAATTTTTCTAAGCGAGATCATTCATCCTATATCAGGATCTTTGAACTATGCTTTCCTTCTTGGAAATAGGAACTGATGCTAAAGAAGGTATTTCTGTATCTTTTACCTTATAAGACTTACGAGTCTTTGATTTCTTTTTCTGTGAGGAGGTAATAGTATTACGCTCTTTCTTTACTTTTTTACCTAAGGTATATTAACATTAATTTCAGCATCAGTCTCAGCCTCAGACTCTGATTCAGAAAAAGAACTTTCAGAGCTAGAAGAGCTATCCTCAGATTCTGATGAAGAAGTATCATCAGAAGAATCTGAATCTGATTGATCGTCTACTTTAGCTATATAGATTCGACCACTTTTAGATTTTTTCTTCTTAGGCTTATTTTTTGATTTCTTTTTCTTTGTTTTAGAAGACTTGCAAGTAGATTTAGCCACTTTCACACTGAGATGATTTCTTGACTGCAAAAATTTGAGGATCTAAAAAAGGTGAGTTTTTGAAAAGCTTAGCCTTAACATGAAAGGCATCATTGGTTCTTAACCTTCTTCTAATTTCTTATTAATATAACTATTGAGAGCTGAACTATTATATGTTTCAAGCAAACTTAGAGGTGCGCCTAAATGTTCTGCAAGCATATATAAAAACTCTAACTCCTTTTTTTCTAAAGGCTTCTGAATATTCTGAAAGTGCATCTGATTTGTTTGAGTTATTTGCGCTTGTAAAGATGCAATTTGAGAATTTAGTTTTTCAATCTCAACCGATAGATATGCTTGAGATTGTATGTATTGCTGGGATTGCAAAAGGGAATTAGCACCAGAGAGTAATTCAGCTTTATATCTCTCAATTTCTTCTAAAGATGAAAAGATTTCATCAATAAGTCTATTAAGCCCTATACGGTGAGCTTCCATTTGATTTTCTGGAAAAAGTCCCCTAAGAAATCTACGGCGAAATTCACCATCTTCCATATTAGCATATCTTGCAATCTTCTTGAGTTTGGTATAATAAGAACCCATGGAATCGCTTTCTTGCACTGTTATACCAAATAATGCTTGATTATATTGTTGTCTAACTGTAGGATAATTTCCTTTAAAGTAATCAATTAATTGCCCAAGGGTGATGTCAGCTAATACAACTGTTCTATTTATCAAATTTGCACTTGGTGTATACATAACTTTAGATATTAGCTTACCTCCTGCTGGTGT